GTTTGATATATATATATATATAATTGCATATGTATATGTGTATATGCATATGAATAGGAATATGTAGATATTTATGTGTTTATGTGTATGCGCGTGTGTGTTGAGGCAGGAGGAAAACGAAAATAAGAGGGGCGCGATTTTTCCAGGGAGTGTACCAAGCTAGCAACAACAGACCCAACCGTAATGACCCCCCGGGCGGTACACATCAAATTCGCTGTCCAGGCTCAATTTGTCATATAGCGTGACCGGGTTGTCGTGGTTCTGTGTGAGTACTTTTTAGAGCAAAAACATGAAGCCTCGATTGGCATGGGCCGGCTTGTCGAGGAGCCTAGAGAGACGAGATTGAGTAGACGAGATGAGCTATTTGACCGCTTCAACATTGGCTTGACCAGAGCACGAACAGTGGCGATTTGATGTGCTAGATTACATGCGAAGATTTACTGAAAATGGTGGTCATAGCAGATAAGAAAGGAAACTATGCTTTCGAAATTCCCTCATGTTATTTTGCACTTTATTTCGATTGACCGGGTGTGTAGATTCTGTCTGTGTGTTTGTGTGTAAATTGGCCGAATAAGGATTAAGTATTTGGGGGAAGAAGCCCTTGGACCAAGGTTCTATTACTCCGATCTCTCTAAGTTGGCCATTGGTCCGTTCCGTCAGGATGGCCAGAAAGCATCATTTAGCAAAGTTTACCAAAGCATCCTTGCTTGTTTGGTGATTTATTGAATTAAATCAAATTATTCTTTCTGACTGGCGATTTGTTTACTTCCACCTCAAGTGCATGTGTGTATGATAAAGGTCTATCGCACCATCGTTTTGCTGTACCATAGCATTCTAGATCATACCATACCTAAAGCTATTTCCCTCTATTCCAGTAAAAAATATGCATACTTTCGACAGTCCTCTGACGGAGCATCTTTTTTACAACCTCCGGAAGTTTACTCCGAAATCGCAGGAGATTGCCTCGAGAACAACGTTGGTACAAGTGTTCCGGTAAGGCTGGCAAGACGAGATGACTCAGTCGTCGTCCTCTGATGTGATTGACCTTCACAGTTCTGCATTAGATACACTTTTACTCGAAACAGAAGTGAACTCAACTCTTAATAGACCGATAGATTTCTCGGTGCCCAACTTTATTTGGCCGTAGCCGCCGAGAGGTGTTCGAACATGGCGCAAAGTTGCCGGTTTTTTGGAACCGACGAGCGGGTGGAACGACGGAAGGGATTGTTTTATGCCATTAAGACTAAGCCGACTCTGTCCTTGGCCGAGCCGGTTTGCTCAAGTCGACATTCCGGAGCCTTGGCTGCGATGTCATGGTCCAGCCATCCGAGGCAGACACGTCTGTCGGCTGCTCTTCTCCCTTTTCGTGTTTTACTGCGTTCACGGGCTCGTTCGGGTTTGGTTGCCGTCTCCTCTACTGGCCAAATGCTGTACCGTCCCCACGCCTCCATTTCATCATGCCCACGGCACTCCCATTTCCGTCGTCGCCTCCTCACCCCCCACAGTCAACCTTGATGCCTGAGGCTTTGGAGCTACATTTTGTTCGAGCGAAACGGTAGAGAGGAGGGCACAAACGACCGGCACATCTGCTCATGAGGTGTGTTTTTTCGACAGGCCTGTTGCCTTTGAGATGCGCCAATTAATGTCCTCTTTCGGTGTTGGGGGGACACAGTTTGTTTTATTGTCCCACCGACTCACAGCCCTTATACAGCCGCCACTCGTCTCGCTTCAACTGGTTCCGCCGACCACCCCATCACCTTCTCGTCAAGTCGTCACTTTTGCCCACTTTTGCCCACTTTCGGCCACTCCTCTCCTCCTCCGATACGGTCACTCGCTCACCCTCTCGTTTATATCTACCTCGCTACCTCTGACATCCTTTGCGGCACTTCTCTCTCCTTCTGTGAGGGAAGGATCATCCGGTTTGCTTTTCAAAGAGTTCTCGCATCAAACAGGTTGGTCCACTTGAGTGCTGAAGTCTGCTCGCTGTTGAATTAACTTTTAATGCCTTGATCAGATAATGAAATGGCGGGAATAAAGTGGAACATGGATCTGATATGGTAGAGAAAGTCTTCGGCGAATCGTTGATGTTGATAGTCACATCTGGTGAATAAGTACTTATTCAAGCGATAGTTTGACGGCTGATAAAAGAGTTTTCCCAAAAGGAGATATGTAAAATTGAGGATATCATTGAAGTTCACACTCTCATACCTCCAGAAGGGTTGAGCTCAATCCAAGTTGGTTGGTGCTTCGACTTTGTGCAAACTAGTCTTATCAGAAACCACAGCGTGATTCGGTAAAGGGTCGTGAAAAGCCTATTGACGTAACCACCATCTTCAGAACCACAGATGCCAGTAGGTGACAGCGGAAACAAATAGC